TGTTTTAACTATGTTTTTAAGACTGGATACTTTCCAAGAACCTGGGCACAGTCTATCATAGTACCTCGACATAAGAAGGGTGACCATATAGCTGGAATATTGCTGAGTGCGGCGTAAAACTCAACTCATTAAGAAGGGTGACATCAATAACCCTGACAATTACAGAGGCATATCTCTGACGAGTAGTATTGGTAAATTGTTTACATCTATCCTCAACAAAAGATTAAACATGTGGGCTAATATTAGAGATAAAATTCCTGAAATACAAGCTGGCTTTAGGAAAGGTTATTCCACATCTGATCATATTTTTACATTGTATGCAATTGTGGAAAAGTACTTAATAAGAAGAAAACGTAAATTATATGTAGCATTTATTGACTTTAGGAAAGCATTTGACTCTGTAAATCGACAGAAATTGTGGGCTTGTTTAAAGCGGGCGGGATTAGATGGGAAAATGTTATTTATGTTACGAGGTATTTATGCCAGCGTAGAAAGGATGCGTAGCAATGAGGATTCACTGACTATTTTGAGTGCCCACTGGGTGTGAAGCAAGGATGTTTGTTAAGCCCTATTCTCTTTTCCTTCTGCATTAGCGAATTGGAAAATGAAATAATTCATAAAGGCAAACATGGTGTACAACTATATCCTGATATTTTGGAGATTTTAATGCTACTGTTTGCTGACGACATGATATTAGTATCGGACTCAGTGGTAGGTTTACAGAACCAATTAGACATTCTGGAGAACTACTCGAAAGAATGGAAATTAGATGTTAATCTTGATAAGTCAAATATTGTTGTATTTAGAAGGGGTGGACCAATTGCTAATGGCAAAAAATGCTCTATTAACGGCATTCCAATGCAAATAGTTTCTGAATACAAATATCTTGGAATACTTTTTAATTATACATTGAATATGGGTAAAACTGCTATTGCCTTATCAGCAAAAGCAAAAAAGGCTCTGGTGTATCTGCTTTCATCACTATATCCATTAGCACCAATAACACCAAAGATGTTTTTTAAACTTTTCGATGCACAGATACAACCAATGTTTTTGTATGGGGCGGAGATATGGGGTTTCCAGACTTTTGAACCGATTGAAAAGATACATCTATTGGCATGTAAGAAGTTCCTTAATGTTAACATTATGTGGAAGATACCCACTTTATATAAACTCTCACCTTCGCTGCATAAAATACTGGTTCAAAATACTGAAAATGCATGAACAGCGTCTACCAAGAAAGTCATATAACATGCTACTTAATTTAGATAATATTGGTTACGTAACATGGGCATCAAATATAAGATATCTGTTATTTTCGTATGGATTTGGATATGTGTGGATTTTCCAAGGTGTCGGTAACGAGTGGCTGTTTATGAATGAATTTTGCCAAAGAGCCGTGGATAAGTTTCGCCAGAATTGGATGAATACCCTTAATCTAAGTTCAAGATTTGATGTATATAGATCCTTTAAAACATTGATCGAACCTGAGACATATCTATCAAACATTACAAGCAAGAAATTTAGAAATACAGTTATTAGATTTAGACTTGGCTTGACAGATATAATGATCAATACTGGCCGTAACAAGTCACTCGCCAAACATCTCAGATTTTGCCCTGTCTGTATGGCGGATATCGAAGACGAATATCATCTGTTATTTATATGTGACGCTTATGCCGATTTAAGAAAGGAGTACATTCCACAAAAATATCTGGGTCACCCTACAAGGGAAACACTTATAAGAATTTTATCATCAAAAGACGAATCTGTCCATGTAAAATTAGCCATGTTTTTAACACATTTGCTGTCTTTAAGGAAGAGTTTAATTTCTCCTGTCAACTAATTTAACAATGTTATGATGCTTTCCACTGTTTGCAATGTCCATACCTTGCCTGTCATTACAATACTATGTATACGGGCCAGAGGCCTTATGTACAATAAACCATCTTGATCTTGATCTTGAACTCTGCTCCTACATAGTCATTCAGTTCTGCCGTCCATCCCAAAATCTTTGATCTTAGTTGGGACAGTAGAGTGATCCCCGACATCCGGGTCAAATGTTAATACAATGTTGGATCAAATGTATTTGGAGGCAGACATTGCTCATGAGATCATTTCAGAAAATGTTACTGCAGAGAGTTAGGGAACGATAAAGTGAACAATCCCTCAGGTCTAGGTGTCTCTTGAAATTGAATTGAAGTAGGAAGGATAACATTTGTGTTAGAAGGATGGCGACTGCATGTTCACTTGCCAACACAGTTGGTAGAGAAGGCACAATGTGTAATTAATGTCCCCTGTTCCTGGCGATTCATGGGGATATCGTCGATAAATAGCAAAGTTGATGCCCTTTTGGATGGAGGATGACAACTACACGACTGGTTATTCAAGTGAAAAGTGAAGGGGCTGAAGAAGTTTGAAGCAACCTGCAGAGGTTGCTGATTATTTGAAGGGAGTCCTCCTTGGGGTACTTATAAGCATTTTATTTCCATTAAAAATTCCTAAGACAGCTGTAACTATATTTTGAATAAAACATTTACAAAACAAAAAACCTGCTAATGTCTTGTTCGACCATTCCTGCAGGGCCCCGCAGGGCCCCAGAGCCATGAGACAGTAACTCTAACCTTCAACCTCGTAACTCACTTTCCATGCTGACTGTAACCAGACAGAATGTGGGGAGGTGGCTGGCCCTACCCCAAGGAGGACACTCTTCAAAGAATCAGCAACCTCTGATGATTAACACAGACCCCCAAATACCTAAGTCTCGGGAAGTGGGAAATTCTGTTAGCGAACACAAATCCCCAGAATAGCGAAAAGCGTAGCCAAACTAGTGTTGGCTTACTATTACACTTACCTGGTCATGTGACATGAGGCTCGAAGAGAAGCATGCCAAACAGTGACCCTTGGGGGGTTCGTACCCATTTCCGCCGTATGACATATAAATAGCATATATCTTGTTATAGTGTTCACAACCTGCCCTGCCCTCTCCTGCCTTTAGGTGAAGAGGACGTAATGGATGTATGTACACCCAACCCGACCCAACCCAAAAGGGTGGTAAGGCTATACGATGTAGTGATATGAACCATATAGACATTGAACACAGAACCGATACCAATGACCAGTTACTCCACTGGACAGAACCGAAAGACCGAACTGAGCATGATCCTTAGAATGCGTGCCAAGTCGGTAATGGCAAATGAAGGCACTCGGACGGCTCCAAAAAGTGGCAGAACATATCTCTTCATTGAGCAGTGTCGCTGTTTATTGCCTTTGTAGTGTCAGCTGCCCTCACTGAAGCCTTCAACCCCTCGGAGGAAGGTTGGTAAGCGTCGGAAGTTCGATATGAGCTGTCATGAGTGAATACTGACATGATCAGTATGAAATACTGTCAGTGCTGGGTCAGTGGGTATCGCATGGATGTCCCTGACCCTTCTACCGAAGTTCGCCACCACAAGAAAAGCCGTCTTCCACGTCAACAAGTGAAGTGAGAGAGACGATAGACTTGAAAAATTAGGGCAGCTCCCACGTCTTCACCATGTGAACGACAGCTTGGAAAGTCAGTTACGAGGTTGAAGGTTAGAGTTATCTTGTCTTGGCTGATTATTTGTTTTGTAAATATTTTATTCAAAACATAGTTACAACTATCGTAGGAATTTTTAATGAACATAAAAATGCTTATAAGTACCCCAAGAAGGACCTCTTCTGAAAAAGAAACCAAATGATTGGGCTGCCCACTGATAGTGGATACCAAGGAACTGGAAATGGTGGGTGGAAAGGTAAATGCACAATAATCATCCAGAAGGTCAAGGCTGATCAGGCAATAGTGCTCTAGAAAGTGTAGACCTGAGCAGCCTCAAGGTAGTAAATCAGAAGCAGGGTTGATACTGCTTGTTGAAAATGGTGGGATTGTGGATCATCCTCAGCATGGAGGAGTCCTTTTAGGGGACAAGAAATACGAGATTGACGGAGGGGCCTACAATTATGAGTCAGTATCTGAAATCTTTCCCTTCAACAAAGATGTAGATGACCACAACTGAGATAGAAGACATCTTTTAAACTTTGAATCACAGTTCAACTGAGTGAGGTAGTTCATAAGTCAAGTAAGAGCCACTTCTGCCAATTCTGCCTTTAAATGATTCACCATGTGATTAATTTGTTGATGTTGAAAATTAAGCTGGGGTTAATTTCCATTTCAAAAGTTCCTGGGGATGATGCCAGCACTGCTAGAGGCTTGGAGAACATCAGATTTCTGTTTCAGCAAATACCAAACATTTGAAGTGCATTGAAGTGTATCATATTAGACGATCCCATCATTGTATTATGTCCTTATCATGGAAATGCGCCTAGTCTACTACTGTAAATGTAAGAATGGGATATTCTTCTTGCTCATAATGAGGCGCTTTGAAGGACGGCATCAAAGATAGACGAGGGATACCTTTATCTAATGATGTTACTAAGTCCTTCAAAATAGGATCCAGCAGAACAGACGTTGGATAAGTCGTCTTTAATAACATCTGGACCCAAGAAAGGCACCACCGTCTCTAGCCTATCCAACGAGCCACCTGATGTATTCCTAGGTGTGTGTCTCTTTCTGCTGCTTTCATAAACTGATCTAAAACATCCTTCTGATGAAACTGACCAGAGAAACTTCCAGACTTAGTGGATGTCAAAGATGAGTCACAAGGGGAGGCTGGGTTCTGTGAGGAAGGCCATCTAGTAATTGGTGCCCCACAAGACTTCAAACACAATCTGCCATATCACAAAAGGAAGCCAAGGTTTATTCTTAAGCCTACAAGAGTTGTGCTCCCGTATTGAGCACATTACTACATAATGTAACACCTATTTTAAAATTCTATTATCAGTATTAGGTAACAAAGATTTTCTCAATAATGTCTGGGAAAAATTGCATTTTGAATGTTTATTCAAAAGCAGACACAGATCCTCTCAATAATGCCAATACTTTCAGCATGTGGAAATTTAAGATGGAGTAAATAACATACTGCCATTTTCTTGACATCAAATGAATGAAGGGTTGCAGAACACACAATCATCTGCAGACGCTTGCCATCATTCGTGACTTTTGGAATCTGTTGGTGTAGACGATTGATGAGGTCACCATAACCCTGAGACAGAAGCCCGTCCTGTAGAAAAGAAAATCACTGAGCGAAACTGCCAGTTTTCACATCATCAAAAGACAGTGGAATATTATCACAGTGGTAACAGTAAAAGGATAATCTTCTGAGGTCGTAACCAGACTATATTCCATCCTGATATTAACTGCCCCGGTATCCTCAATCTGGCACAATGTGGTATCCAGTACCTAGTCTACCATATGCCACGTGGGAACCATGTGGTTTCCAGTACCTAGTCTACCATGATATGCCACTCAGACACTATGTGGTATCCAGTACCTAGTCTACCATGATATGCCACTCAGACACTATGTGGTATCCAGTACCTAGTCTACCATGATATGCCACTCAGACACTATGTGGTATCCAGTACCTAGTCTACCATGATATGCCACTCAGACACTATGTGGTATCCAGTACCTAGTCTACCATGATATGCCACTCAGACACTATGGTATCCAGTACCTATACCATGATATGCCTACTGCCAGACACTATGTGGTATCCAGTACCTAGTCTACCATATGCCACGTGGGAACCATGTGGTATCCAGTACATAGTCTACCATATGCCATGTGGGAACCATGTGGTATCCAGTACCTAGTCTACCATATGCCACGTGGGAACCATGTGGTATCCAGTACCTCGTTTACCATGATATGCCACTCAGACTCTATGTTGTATGATATGTGGTACCTGATCTACTTTAGGATCCCAACACATATTTGTACCCCAGTCTACCATAGAATCAACAAACAAATAAATCCAAGGATTTAACTTGACCTGCTGAGAGGATGGTATTTGGCCCCTAGTCTGCAGTAAATATTCCAGTGTGAATAAGTGATCTCCAAATGTTTGGTCACTGGGTTTTTGGTACACCTAGCTACAGATTTCTAGCTGATAAGAGATATTTGTTTACTGTGATGAAGGTTGTACTTACACACTCATCAAGTACGAAGAATCGGATTTGGTGGAGAGCTAGTTTGCCTGTAGAGATGAGGTCCTCCAGACGGCCAGGGGTTCCACACACAATGTCCACCTGCATGCAGGTATCATATTCTTATTTCCTTATAGGTCATCTATTAACTGTTGAATTTATGCATAAAGACACTGTCTATCAACACGAGGCAAAAAGTAACTACAAACTCTCCAATATGGTGACAATGTTTGGTCTAGTTATTCCATCAAGATCAGCCCAAACGGTGTTAGTGATTGTTATGACACTGTTGTGACTGCTGGACATATTTTATCTTACTGACTTTCAAATTTGAGGTGCCTGTTTCAGGAACTATCTGACAAATGATAAAATCATAAAATCATATATATCAGCATTTGTATTAATTATCATTAGTACAGTAATATATTTAGACATTTTTTAAAACAAAAGACCATATGGCATACCCCTCTTTCCAGACAATCCACCTGCTCCTTGGCACTGACTCCCCCAATGATCAGTAGTTCCCTGCAACAGAGGAAGACATGGACACGTCTCCAGTATGTAATACTCCCCTACAGCATGAACCCCCACATCACAACATGGATGGATGGATGGGTGAGTGGATGAATGAATGGATGGATCGGTGGGTGAGTGGATGGATGGATGGATTGATGGATCAGTGGGTGAGTGGATGGATGGATGGGTGAGTGGATGGATAGGTGGGTGAGTGGTGGGTGCGTGGATGGGTGATTGGATGGATGGGTGATTGGATGGATGGATGGATGGATCAGTGGGTGAGTTGATGGGTGAATGGATGGGTGAATGCATGGATGAGTGGATGGGTGAATGGATGGATGAGTAGGTGGGTGCATGCATGGGTGGCTGGCTGGATGTCTGGTTGGATGGACAGATTGATAACCCCCTGCAGCACAGTAGCTCACCTCACTTCAGGGTTCTTGACATGCTTCTTGAACTTCTGCAGCTGAGTGAGTGTCTGCAAGGAACAAGCATATGTACCTGTGTCACAATGCCTCATGTCCATAAGTATTGCATTCCACGTCAGAGCAAACCCTGCCTTACACTAAACAGGGAAGTTTATAAACAGGTCAATATTCTAATTGACAATATGTAGAGGAGAAAGAGAGACTAGTACTCACCTGTTCTGCCAGCTCCCTGGAAGGCTGCAACATGGCAGACAGAAACAGTAGCAAGTACATGGTAAATCACAAACTGCTTGAACAATTCATCAACTTACAAATAAAATAAACTTAAACTACACATTTAATTTTTATCAAACAGTTTATTCACAATCTTCTTACACTACTGTTGTTGAAACCATTAAAACATTTGCATGTCAAACAGATTTCTACAATCAGTCCAAATGTATATATCACTTATAACGCACTGAAATGCTACGTGTAGGATCATGGGCACCCACTACATAGTATTACCTCTATGATGATAGCCTGTGCACCAACTATGTAGTGTTACACATCTCTATAGTGATGGGTTGTGGGGTTTTAGCAAGGTGTTACACATCTCTATAGTGATGGGTTGTGGGGTTTTAGCAAGGTGTTACACAACTCTATGGTGATGGGTTGTGGGGTTTTAGCAAGGTGTTACACAACTCTATGGTGATGGGTTGTGGGGTTTTAGCAAGGTGATACACAACTCTATGGTGATGGGTGTGGGGGTTTAGCAAGGTGTTACACATCTCTATGGTGAAGGGTTGTGGGGGGGTTACACAACTCTATGGTGATGGGTTGTGGGGTTTTAGCAAGGTGTTACACAACTCTATGGTGATGGGTTGTGGGGTTTTAGTGATGGGTTGTGGGGTTTTTAGCAAGGTGTTACACAACTCTATGGTGATAGGTTTAGCAAGGTGTTACACAACTCTATGGTGATGGGTTGTGGGGTTTTAGCAAGGTGTTACACAACTCTATGGTGATCTAGGTGTTACACATCTCTATGGTGGGTTGTGGGGTTTTAGCAAGGTGACTCTATGGTGATGGGTTGTGGGGTTTTAGCAAGGTGTTACACAACTCTATGGTGAAGGGTTGTGGGGTTGTTTAGCAAGGTGTTACACATCTCTATGGTGAAGGTTGTGGGGTTTTAGCAAGGTGATACACAATCTCTATGGTGAAGGGTTGTGGGGTTTTAGCAAGGTGTTACACAACTCTATGGTGATGGGTTGTGGGGTTTTAGCAAAGGTGTTACACAACTCTATGGTGATGGGTTGTGGGGTTTTAGCAAGGTGTTACACTCTATGGTGATGGGTTGTGGGGTTTTAGCAAGGTGTTACACAACTCTATGGTGAAGGGTTGTGGGGTTTTAGCAAGGTGTTACACAATGGTGATGGGTTGTGGGGTTTTCTATGGTGATGGGTTGTGGGGGGTTTATAGCTCTAATGGGTTGTGGGGTTTTAGCAAGGTGTTACAACTCTATGGTGAAGGGTTGTGGGGTTTTAGCAAGGTGTTACACAACTCTATGGTGAAGTTTAGCAAGGTGTTACACAACTCTATGGTGATGGGTTTTAGCAAGGTGTTACACAACTCTATGGTGATGGGTTGTGGGGTTTTTTTAGCAAGGTGTTACACAACTCTATGGTGTTACACAACTCTATGGTGAAGGGTTGTGGGGTTTTAGCAAGGTGTTACACAACTCTATGGTGATGGGTTGTGGGGTTTTAGCAAGGTGTTACACAACTCTATGGTGATGGGTTGTGGGGTTTTAGCAAGGTGTTACACAACTCTATGGTGATGGGTTGTGGGGTTTTAGCAAGGTGTTACACAACTCTATCGTGATGGGTTGTGGGGTTTTAGCAAGGTGTTACACAACTCTATGGTGATGGGTTGTGGGGTTTTAGCAAGGTGTTACACAACTCTATGGTGATGGGTTGTGGGGTTTTAGCAAGGTGTTACACATCTCTATAGTGATGGGTTGTGGGGTTTTAGCAAGGTGTTACACAACTCTATGGTGATGGGTTGTGGGGTTTTAGCAAGGTGTTACACAACAACTAGGTGTGGTGATGGGTTGTGGGGTTTTAGCAAGGTGATACACAACTCTATGGTGAAGGGTTGTGGGGTTTTAGCAAGGTGTTACACAACTCTATGGTGAAGGGTTGTGGGGTTTTAGCAAGGTGTTACACAACTCTATGGTGAAGGGTTGTGGGGTTTTAGCAAGGTGTTACACATCTCTATGGTGATGGGTTGTGGGGTTTTAGCAAGGTGTTACACAACTGTATGGTGAAGGGTTGTGGGGGTTTAGCAAGGTGTTACACAAGTCTATGGTGAAGGGTTGTGGGGTTTTAGCAAGGTGATACACAACTCTATGGTGAAGGGTTGTGGGATTTTAGCAAGGTGTTACACAACTCTATGGTGATGGGTTGTGGGGGTTTAGCAAGGTGTTACACATCTCTATGGTGATGGGTTGTGGGGTTTTAGCAAGGTGTTACACAACTCTATGGTGAAGGGTTGTGGGGGTTTAGCAAGGTGTTACACATCTCTATGGTGAAGGGTTGTGGGGGTTTAGCAAGGTGTAAGAACATGGGCACCCACCGACATAGTATTACCTCTATGATGATAGCCTGTGGAGCATTTGGAGCTGGCTTGGCATTGACAGCACTGGCGGCTACAACATCAAAACACATTACAATAAGACTTGTTCCTGGAACACAGGTACGTCTGCTGCCTATAGATCAATCAGATAGTTGGACAGGCGACATATCAGAGTTGTTAAAAAAATGGTCTATAATACAACAATACTTTACAAGCTATTTCTTCAGTGAAAATACTTTCTGGGATATAAATCAATATGAGATTCCTTGTGTCTTATGCAACAACCTATGGACAGAAAAGAAATGCAGTTAAAGCTCACCAAGAATCCTTGATTCCACAACACAGGACGATGCAGCCTTACACAGAGCAGTATAACCAGCCTAGAATTATGGAAAGGCTAGTATCAATATTAGTGTCAGGCTAATATCAATTAATATTACACAGCAGCCTGGTGTCTTGGAAATATGAGCAGTATAACACAGCATAGTGCCAGGCTAATATCAATTAATATTACACAGCCTGGTGTCTAGGAAATATGAGCAGTATAACACAGCATAGTGCCAGGCTAATATCAATCAATATTACAAAGCCTGGTGTCTAGGAAATATGAGCAGTATAACACAGCATAGTGCCAGGCTAATATCAATTAATATTACACAGCAGCCTGGTGTCTTGGAAATATGAGCAGTATAACACAGCATAGTGCCAGGCTAATATCAATTAATATTACACAGCCTGGTGTCTAGGAAATATGAGCAGTATAACACAGCATAGTGCCAGGCTAATATTAATTAATATTACACAGCCTGGTGTCTAGGAAATATGAGCAGTATAACACAGCATAGTGCCAGGCTAATATCAATTAATATTACACAGCAGCCTGGTGTCTAGGAAATATGAGCAGTATAACACAGCATAGTGCCAGGCTAATATCAATTAATATTACACAGTCTGGTGTCTAGGAAATATGAGCAGTATAACACAGCATAGTGCCAGGCTAATATCAATTAATATTACACAGCCTGGTGTCTAGGAAATATGAGCAGTATAACACAGCATAGTGCCAGGCTAATATCAATTAATATTACAGCCTGGTGTCTAGGGAAGCCTGGTGTCTACACAGGAAATATGAGCAGTATAACACAGCATAGTGCCAGGCTAATATCAATTAATATTACACAGCCTGGTGTCTAGGAAATATGAACATTATAACACAGCATAGTGCCAGGCTAATATCAATTAATATTACACAGCCTGGTGTCTAGGAAATATGAGCAGTATAACACAGCATAGTGCCTGGCTAATATCAATTAATATTACACAGCCTGGTGTCTAGGAAATATGAGCAGTATAACACAGCATAGTGCCAGGCTAATATCAATTAATATTACACAGCCTGGTGTCTAGGAAATATGAGCAGTATAACACAGCATAGTGCCTGGCTAATATCAATTAATATTACACAGCCTGGTGTCTAGGAAATATGAACATTATAACACAGCATAGTGCCAGGCTAATATCAATTAATATTACACAGCCTGGTGTCTAGGAAATATGAGCAGTATAACACAGCATAGTGCCAGGCTAATATCAATTAATATTACACAGCCTGGTGTCTAGGAAATATGAACATTATAACACAGCATAGTGCCAGGCTAATATCAATTAATATTACACAGCCTGGTGTCTAGGAAATATGAACATTATAACACAGCATAGTGCCAGGCTAATAGACTAGTGTCTGATTGGTCACATTGTTTCCAGTGTACCTCCCTGTGACAAGGATACATTCGGGTGAGATGACAAGATGAAGAGATAAGCAAATAGTATGAGTCAGGATGAGGAAGGATACTACTTGTTGATAATTCTTCCAAGTACCCGAACTCTATTACATCATAGGAAGTATTCAATAGTTGGGCTGATGGGATCTGGCATTAGTAACCCAAGATAGATGGCAACAGTTAAGTAGGCATATTGGATACAAGGAAGCTTCATGCCCAATCCTCTCATTTCTCATCACAGAATCTCTATATTTGGCTTTTATCACATCACTTCATATCCTACAATGTCATTACAATGTCATTACAATGTCATTTCTTATTCATGCTCACATCACCACTTTTTTTACTTTTTTTATGACATCACTATCATTTCCTTTTGGTTATGTTATTATTTTTTATGTTATTCGTTGTGGCAATTTCAGATGGATGTAAATTTGAAAAACATAAATCACTTCCAGATTGCATAATGTGATTTCAGTTGTTAAAATCTGGTTCTTCCACCCACAGTGGACATCAGATTTAAAGGCTTATTTACCTCATTGTTTTGCAGTGTTGGAATCTTCACACTCACTGTTTCACGAAAGGAAAGGGTGAAGTGGCAGCCAGGTGACCATGCCCCTGGGCTTCACCAGTCAAGTGAGAATAGCCCCTCAAGATTGGGTTGTTCAGAAAGCTTGTTGTGTGTAGGACTGTTTTTTTTTAACCAAGATAATTTCAAGGAGGGGAGTTAGAGGTTGCTAATGCTGCCATAAATATGTCATATTTTGGCTGGTGCAGCTGATCATAATGCTCTTGTAGTTTGAGAAGTACTACAATGAGTGAGTGAGTGAGTGAGTTTCGTTTTACGTCGCACTCAGCAATATTCCAGCCATACGGCGGCGGTCTATAAATAATCGAGTCTGGACCAGACAATCCAGTGAGTACTACAATGACGCCATGCTCCATTGGGCCATTTCAAAGCTGTTAGTATAGTTATACAACCCTCTGTCTCCTCTACTGCTCTGTCCAACAGAGAGAGGTCATGCATTGGTGAACTTTCCTTCCCAGTTACACGAATAATGCCATCATCTGTGGTGCCACTGGGTCTTGAACTGGGCTGTTCTTAAGACAGGTTGCCAGGAAATAAAGGTATGGTGAGATGATCATGTGGGCACAGTTTTGTTCTTCCTGAGTAGACAGTTGGCATGGATGTTTAACATGCCCAGCATGTGATATGCTTCAAGTCTGCAGTTATAATACAGCCCTCATCTCCAAATAATAGATGTGAATTTCCATTAGGTTTGACAATTCCCCTTGGACTGTGACATCATCAATGACGTTTTCTTGCAACAGGCATACACAGATGCATTACCCTAAGGATACTGTTTACCTAAAAACTAGAGACAGATAGGTTGGCAGTGAACAATATGTCTGTACATAACCTTTGACTTTATGGTGTGATAACAGTCAAAATTGATTGATGATTAAGATGTAATAGAAGTAGGGATTTAAAGGAAAAATGTAAAAATTCTAAGCATTTTAAAATTGGCATCTACAGTCTGTCCAAACTATGATAAACTTGTTACCTGTGGAGGGAACTTGAATGGCTTATCTCCAAAGTTGAATTGCATCTCTGCATTCTGTAAAAAACAATTACTACACATCAGACACGAGTTTAACAAAAACAGTTCATTCTACTACCATGTATAGTGTAATAAAGCACACTTTCGCCCTGAACTATTATAGTTAAAGTACGAGGACGCTTGCGTCAGAGTGCTTTAACGTTATAATAGTTCAGGGCAAAGTGTGCTTTATTACACTATACATGGTGGTATAGTGAACTGTATTTCTTTTCTAAGATGCCAAATTTAATACTTTCTAAGGATAATTACGATTAATTTAAGGCAGAAAACAAACGACGGTGTCAATGAGTAGTAATAGAGGGGGGTACTACCGCAGATGCGGCTTAGAGGTTTATTTGTGGGAATTAAGCCCCCCAGCCCCTTTAAAAAATATGGAGAGCCATCCTTCCATGTGCAAGTTCAAATAAAAAAATAGCAAAAGCCCTCTGTGGCCACAACCCACGGAGGGAGAAATTGTGTGTTTTGATCAGAGACCCGCCTGATCCCTGGTCTGATGATGTATGTGGTGCGCTGGTATTTCTCCTGTTGGGTTGTGGTCAACTGTGCTCTCCCATGATGAGAGCTCCGTGTCTTTTTTTTTTCCGAATGGTAGGCTTCGAACCTCGGTAACAGAGTTGCCCATCTCTGTACCTTGATCGTACCCAGCAGTCGTTTGACTGAGCCACAGAGGACCTGGTAGTCGAGTGCTGGGTTTAACGGGTCTATCGTGAGATTGCATCATCCTCTTAAACGGGGCTCCATCTATAGTAGCGTAAAGGATGTCTGAAACCCGTCATTCCACTTCCGCTTCAATACTTCATGCATGTTTGGTGGCTTTATCACCTCGAATCAGTGTCTCATAAAATACAAACACGATGCCTGTAGGTAGTTTGAAGTACGCTGAAAAATTTTGTAGAGGCCACAATCAATTATTTATCTTGAGCTGGGCTCCGTCTATACTAGCTACAGTAGCGCAGAACAGAACATTTTTTATTATTTTTTATTTTTATTTGGGGGGTATTACTGTGTCGTGAGGGACAATTTGTAATTCCTCTCGGAAGAATCCCCTACCCGGTCCGTCTTGCAAGTAATACAGATTCGGTTCGTCGTCTTTGATGTCCACTCGGTCGACGTGGTATGTTTTCATGGACCATACAGGGTCTGTGGCGCGACGTTTATCCCCTCCTTCGAGTTCACTAGGCTGGTACAGATAGGTCCGGTAGTTTTTTCTCTTGGCCGTGACGCGATGGCGCAGCCGATTCGATCGTCACGGATTTCATTTGAATGGCTCTCACCTGGACTTTATGCTTTGATAACAGCTGCGACACGGCTCCCATGAACTCGCGTCCAGGATCGATTTGTAATTCGGTCGGCCAGGTCAAGCGACTGCGTTTGTAGATACGTTCTAAGGCCTTAGCGACTTGACAAGAATCTTTGGTCGTTAACGGCTCCGCATCCTTGTAGCGACTGGCAACGTCCACAACAATAAGGGCGTACTTGTACGCTTTGTTTCTCACCCTGTCGTGTGGGAGAAACAGGAGGTCGGCTTGATGGGTACAATTGGGTATGGAAATGTCAAGCTTTCTTCTCGGGATGTATCGGGGAGATGGCAGGTACACTTGCCAGATGGCTTGTTTTTTTAAGCCAAGCTTTGGCGATATCCTCGGCTTTGGCAAGCTTCAGGATGGCATTCACACCTTTCCAGTAACCCCGAGGGCTGTAGTAAACCTTCTCCATGATGTATACACGCTATCGTTCATTCAATTGTCTCGACCCATCGAGTGGAGTTTCCTTTATTGGGGGTCGTGGAAATTCCCAACCGTCGAGGCCTACTGTTGGTACCCATGGCTATAAGTGTAGATGCCATCGTTCGCAATCCATCGTTTGGTATCCAGGGGCGACAGCGATGTTTCTCAATGCGTTCATTGGGTGTTTGAACGTGCGTTTATCGAAGAGAGCCTGTTTGAAGAGGGTGTGGTTGATGTGGTGTTTCACCACGTATTTGTTGACCCCTTTCGCCTTTCGGATTTCTTTTTGAATCGAATACATTTTAGGTCTTAACCCGACGTATTCCGCGATGGGTGTCCCCGTGCATTCGTCCTTCATCTTGCTGAGGACCTTTTTATTGGTCGTGCTGTGTAGGGCGTGGTCTTGGAGGTAATCGCTGGTGTCGTACAGGTGCATGTGTTTCGCCATGTCCTCGTACATGTCCTCGGTACGAATTTCCATGAGCAGTGAATCTGTGTCCGTGTACAGCACTTCACATCGATCGCCGTATTGATTTTTTAACTTGTTGTAGTAGAAATCGTACATGAAATGTTTGGAGAGGTCGAGAATGCTCATCATCACGTAGACGGGTCGGTTGAGCTTGATGTGGCTTTTGTTCATGTGCAGCGCTGCCAAGTTGTTATGAAATAGCTTGCTCCAGTTGAAGGCCAGGCTGGCTATGTGTTTCCTGAGTTTTTCTTCCTCGTGAGATCGCACGAATTTGACCGTCACCCCGTTTTCTCAAGTTTTCCATGGTTTTGCCGAACACAGTTTGTAGAGTTTTTTCTCGAAATCGCTGGTGGCCTTTTTTCGCCTTTTGGTGTTCAGCCGAATGTAAGGTTCCATCCAGGGACTTTGATCGAATTGCAGCACCCGACGTATTTTGGTCAGCTTCATGCCCAGCGACAAGTACAGTTGCAGATTCCAATAGTACACCACGTACTTGGTCTTGCGCATCAAGTTCGGAACGAGTTTTCCACGTTGGCCAGCTTATTTTTCCCGAGCAACGTTAGTTGATAGTCCGACGGTGTATCAATTCTAAGCTGGAGGTTGCACACGTTATGGGCGGCACCTCGGTGATGTGGCAATGATCTCTCATGACATCCCCGTTCAGGGGTTGGTCGCACAGGTGACAATGCTGAGCCTTTTCATGAGCGAGTTTATCCTCCAGCGTCATATCCATGGGGGCAGGGTCCGACAAAGCTTCCCTGATGTTTCCGTCTTCATGTGAGAAACGTTTCGGCCGCGTCAGGACCTCGGTAGATCACGGGAGCGTTCGTTACCCCGTCGCATCGGACGATCACTTACCCGAACCCGCAGGCTTGGTGTTCTTGCGCTTTGTACGTGAAACTGCGATTCGTGTCTGGCGTACTACAGTCGGCTCAGACTTTTGATCCACGCGTAGTGATACTGGTCGCCTTTTGAGAAATAAATTGATTTTGCGCACAGAATCGGGCCTGGAGCTGATTCGGTGCATGATTGTCGTATTGCCTTCGTGGCTGAAGACGTTGATGGCTAAATGGTTTTGTTTTTCCACCTTCGTCATTTGAGAGATGGGTGTGGGTGAGTCTATACCGTCTAAGTTCAGCCCATCATCTGCGGGATAGCTCGAAGGTCTGTTTGCCACTTTAGAATCGGCGGGGAATAAGGCAGATCTCAGCGCCCATCTTAAGCAGTGATCGTCGTTGTTTTTAATGTTCACGATGGCCTTTTTATTCTTGCAATACGGAGGCAAGTCTAGGTACGATCTGCCTCTGAACGGTACGTTGTTCGCTATATCTAGGTAGATGGTATCCATTTTGTCACAGCCCATCCGGAGCCTCTATGGGTAAATCTTTCCAACGATTCTTGTACGTGTTGCAACGACGTATCGAGGGTCGAAGGGATCAAGTCGGGTTGAAGTATGACTTCCTGCTTGCCTCGGAAATAAGGCTTGAGGTGCTCGGTGCTACCGTCCGTCTGAGGTTTCTGACGCGACATTTTAAGGGTCAACTGGTATTTGATGCTTTTCAAATCGTTTAATTCTTCGTGAAGTTTACTGTCGATTAAGGGTTTGATTTTATCGGTATCGATATTAGAATCGATCACCATTTTCCAGCCTTTCAGATACTTACCCACCGCGTGGTCTGTTGGCACGAATCTCAAATCGACCGGCTCGGTGTCTTCCAGCAAGGTGGCCAATTGGGCTTTCCTCATGCGAGAATAACCCTTCAACCCCCGTTCTTTAGCTCGGAGTTTGAGGTCTCGCACGGTAGGGGGCTTGACATACTTCATGTCGAGCAAGGTGAGCAGTTGGGGTTTCCTCATGCAAGAATAAAAACCCACCAATCCACGTTTTTTCGCCATCGCTTTGAATTCACAGACGGTCGTCATGATTGCTATATCAATGTGCGAAAACTTTTGTTTTTAATTAAATAATTATATTCAAGTGCGAAGTCAAATGTGTAATAGGTTGTTTAATCAAGGGAGGAAACTCCATCAGCCTTCTCTTTGAAATGAAGCACACGTGACATCTTTTTTAAAAAATTTATTCTGAGGAGTCGGTTACATTCGTTGAGATAATCTCTTTTCGTCAAGTAGATGAGATGACCTCGGACCACATCTGCTCCGTGGGCTTTGCAATGACGATAATGACATTTCACGCCAATCCCGCATACTTAGCACGTGTAGTTGACGAAACCCTTTCTGATGGACATCATGTGGATGCTGCAATAGTCGGTGGTGCATTTCCTGCCGCTGGTTTTGGTTTTTCCGAGAAGCACGTACTGACACTGAAACGGTGTCTTTATACACATGTAAATATATTTTATACACATAAATAAATATTTTAGTCTAATTGTTTGGCGATCCATACGGTGGCGGCTAATCCTAAGGCCACATTTTTTGTTGTTGAAATTATAACATATGAGGATTTACTTCTAATTGAGGTGCTGCTGGTGTTGCTGCCGGTGCTGCTGCTGCTGCCAGTTTGAATTTGTACAGCCATGCGGTCATGCATGCCGCCGCTTTATAGTACAGGACCCATTCACGTTTTTGTTTCTGCTGTTTCACCAGCCCGCGACCGGCGGCTACTTTTTGGGGATTCTTGTTTCGGGTGATGGTCTTAATCGGTTCCTCCTCCGTCGTTGGTGGTTGTTCTGAGACAGGTTCCGTCGGTGGTGGTCAGTGTTCCTCCATCTTGTATAGTATGGTTTATATTTTATTCTTTAAATCGGCAATGCTTCGCCGTGATGATGGCTGTGGTCAGAGGA